AACCGAGCGTGCAATCACATTTAACTCACTGGAAGGCTTCAAAACTGGATGAATTGCACTGGTGTGAGACTTTTTTTTTCTTTTCTTCCAATCACTCATTGCACCACAGCAAGAGAAGCTGTAGTATTAAAGGGTTTTACCTTTGGGACTGAATATAGATTTAACTAATACTAATATTCTTTTTACCTGTTTTTATAACAGAGTAGGAAGTAACAATTTTCTGGTGCTTTACCTTTACTAGAAAGGAAAAATGAATTAAAAGTCATTAGCCAGCATGTGGTAACTAATACAGATAAAACATTAATGAGACAAGGCAAACAACTCCTAGATATACTAGCACATCGCTCTTCATGAGGCAGTTTCTTCAAGCCCCCCCACTTGAAGTGACTGAGAGTAACAGACATTAGCAGATTCCTGGAGATTTACCAGCTGAACTGATAGAGTGATTCCTGCATGGATGCTGGTCTTCTAAGAGCATTCCCAGAGAGAGTGTTTACCATTTAATTTTCCCCAATTAGCCAAGCCCTTGGATAGGAAATACCTATTAAGGCTCTAACACAGGCCTTCTAATTCTGATGCTAATTGTAAGGAGAGATGCCCTTGGCATTTCTGACCCAGAGCTTGGCTTTTCACATCTCACACACACCGGACATGTTAGGACATACGTTGCTTTCTTATGTAAGATTCAAACCTTGTTAAGTGGATAAAAATTTAACAGTAAAATGCTACTGCTTGGAAAATGTTTATTTTGTTTTCCTCTCTCTTGGTTCAAGGTCTTGAATGTCTGTCTTTTTTCCAGTTCCCTCAGGCACTGGATTCTTAACCAAATACTATTAAGATGCAAAGACTGCCCCTCTATCGGCTTGGGGGAATTTATTTATAGGCACTTAAATTCTTTCTTAATCAGCACACAATCATCCTACAGTCTAATCAATGCATTCTAGAGCAACAGAGATCCATTTAGTGCTGCAGAATTTTTCTTTCACTGCATTAAGACCTCCTAGAAATAGTAAATTACTTCCCTCAAGTAACCACAGCCAAGATTATATAAATAGAAAAATAGCTATATAAATAAATTTTGGCTTCACTCTGTATAACCAACAGTTGAACAACCAGTGCAGAGAATTACACAGTTGTTAATTCATAGTGGGTGAACACTGCAATTTGGTTTCAAGTTTCCCTTAGAGCCAAAATTAAATTGCCAAAGCCAGTAGATTTTCTTTCATCTATTCCAAAATACCAGCCATTACACCCCTGCGGGAGTGGAACTCTATGCCAATCTGCACAGGAAAAACATCAGTCTAAACCTGGGTGAAAAGGCAGGGCTACCTTCTGAGCTGGTGTATGTTAAACACGGAATGAAATTACGTTAAATCACACAGCCAAAGTAGATGTATGTATTTATTCCGTCCAACTATTAGGTCATTTGACAAGTGCAGATCTTTCCATCTAAAGACTGAAGTGGACTAAGTCTCTCCATTTTATGCGAAGAGTCCAACGGCCCTTTTGACTCAAACTGCTTTTATGTTTGCAGCCCCTCACCACAAGTCCTACTTTTCCCTTAAGCAAAAATCTTCAGCTATAACTACATTTCTACAGGGACACCTGAAAATTTTCCTCAATGTAAGAAAATTGTATTATTTTGGTTTGGGATTTAAAATAAAACCCCGCTGCTGTAAAGCCTGGCTTACAAGAAAGCACAGTAATCCAGCACCAGGTGACAAGGCTTCCTCTCCTGCAGGGATAAAAATCTTTCCCAGTCCCCCTTTGAGAGCATGCAAGCGTTTGAGTGAAGTGTCTAGATCAGAGCTTTCCTGGGGGAGAGATAAATGACAGCAGCGAGTAAACACTTGGAGATGATGCTGGAGCCTGTTCTGCTTTCTCCTTGGGGGCAGAATAATTGACATGTCTGTGTGACTCAATGGGAATATTAACAGAGTCAAGAGGCACACACTTTAGCAACCGTTACCACTCATGGGCACATAATTTCCAGTATCTTACATGCAAACGTTAGTGTATATATAGCAAAACCCAAAACTATTGCACAATAACAGCAAGCTTGCATCGCATTTCAGGCACAACCCTATTCCCAGGCACATTCCTGTTTGCCTCTTGCTTAGAGGCAAGTCTATCACGCCATAGTGCGCACATACACGTATACGTAACAGAGCCATTCAAGCCCACAGCATCAGCAAAAAAAAAAAAAAAAATTTAAAAAATCTGCTGCACAGTGCTCTAAGCAGGGTCAGCTAAAGACAGCTGCTATCCATGGAAACTTGAAAATACAAAGTGAGAGTGGAGCTTTGAAATTTCTTTAAAGCAGGTAGAACTGTAGCAATGTTCTCAAAGGGGAAAACCTCTGCAGAGTTCAGTGAAATACGAAAATGTTTATTTCAAAGTCCAACAGCAACAGACCCAAGTTCAGTATCATAGACTCCATGCATGAAATTTGCACACTTTGATTTTTAAACAAAAACGCTTGCATAGCTAATATTTACAAATAAATCTGCACGCACAAAAACATGGCAGACTTGCAGGTTAAGCTGCAAAACCAGAGAAGCATTAAATTCTTCTGCCTAGAGGTAGCTCAAATACTGTTCAGGTACAAACGCTGCATTTATTCCTTTAGCAACACTTCACGTTTGATATAAGAATCTTAAAAATCTTCCTGAGAATTAGTATAAGTGCCTTGAGCTCCAAGCAAGCCCACATCTTGACAGGACACATGCACATCGTCTGATCCTACAGTAGTACGAGTTCACTGACATGAACTGCTGCATCCCCCCGTACTCCACTAGTGCATTCCTTGAGAAAATGCTGTGCATCCACCTTACCCTTAGAAACATCAGTACTGGAAAAAAGGCAGGTTTATTGCTCTTAAGAGACAGTAAATAGAAAGGCTTGAATCCTATAAACAAAGCAACCCAAATGTATAGATTAGAATAAAAGAAAAAAACCAAAACACCTTTCAATGCACTGAACTGATCTGAAGTCCCCCTGGTGATGGTCAAATTTTGTTCTTATTAAACACAGAAGACTGGCAGATGATTTCATGAGAGTGTTCAGGGGTTGTATATTTACATGCTTGGCTGTTCCTTTCTCTGGTCTGCACCTCAGATGTAGAATAGAAAGGTGATCACAGCAAAATACAGCTTCGGAGTGAAGTCCAATTATATTCAGCTTTGCAACTTGAGCCCGTAATCAACCAATACTTCCTAAACTAGACTTGGAAGTGAGCTAAAAAGAAGCACAAGACTAACTACTACCAAACTGGCCAGGGGAGCGACAAGTTTTTACTACATCTAATAGTATAGTACATTTAATTGTTTTTAAAATGCTTTGTCTTACAAAGCAAGCATAAACTTTTGAGTAAGGGAGGGATGCTGAGCAACCTGACAGAGGAAAGTGGGATGCAACCTGTCTGACCTGAAGAGCTCACGTAAGACTGCCTTGTGCCGAGCATGCCTAGAAGAACAGTTCAGAGGTATATCAAGCAGCTCACGGAACACACCCTAAGGTGCTTGGTTTATTCTTTGATATAGAGTACAGCTACTAGGCTTAAGCCTCACAACACAATTTCAATCCATGTAACAGTAGCACCCTGCACATAATAAGCATTCCTTATTCCAAGTAGTTTGAGCAAGCACTGCTGCTTTTCGGCCTCCCAAAACGAATGAGTTTTGGAGCTGTGGGACAGGGCAAATTCAGCATCTGTTTCCATGTAAGATCTGGTAATCAATATTTAATGTCAGTCGGGTCATCAAAATATAGTTTTATTTACATTTTCATATTCAAATTCAATACAAATCATGAAATATTTACAACAATTTTAATTGTACTATAGACAAGAAAATGCATTGCTTTTCCCCTCCAGATTCAATAGTACTTTATTGCGGGCTTTAAGACAAAGTTCTGCTAATGTTAGAAACAAGCCATAGATACAGAGATTAAAAAAAAAAAAAATATATATATATATAAAGTGCATCTGTAAGATGTCCTTAGTTACCTTCGCTGGGCACGGCCCTACGCTTACTATTGAGGCACCCAGTGTTCCTCCTTGACCCCAGTTCAACTCCCCACAGATGGCAGACAACTTCTCCAATCAACTGTTACGTTCACAGGACATCAGCTCTCCCTGCAGCTTTAGCACACAGGCAAGACAATGCACAGCAACAGTCCAGCATTTTTCAGAGGCTGGATCATTTTCTGAACAAAACACAGCAGATCCTTTGGGAAGAATCTATCTTTTCATCTTTAGGTTCAGTCTTCCTGAAGTCATCCCAGACTCTCACAAAGCCAGGACTCTGGCATTTTGCTGGTGCTAGAGATGGTTAGAACTCCAAAAATCATGGAGGATCTTTCAGACTGTTTAATATTAACAGGTTTGAAAAGTTCCTGCAAATTTTTCCCTTTACAGTATTGTGCAAGTCAGATTTGGCCTGTCAGCTTGAAGCTCTCTTTCTTCCCTTTAGGAATGTGTAGCTGGCAGTTGGAGTTGAGAGGTAGAGAATCAATGGGTTTACTAGAGAACCAAAGACACTGTGGGCAAAATCCAGTTTGACAGGCATTAGTTTGTACTTTCTCCTATCAAATTAGCGCACTGAAATATGAAATACAATGTTGCTTTAAACTAAACTGTGTCTGGTAATTAAGTATTAGACCAGATCAAAATCAATTTGTTTACAATGAAAATCCACTTGAATTAAAAACAATAAACAACAAAAAACCCAAGTCAAAACAATTCCCAGTAGACAGCTACAACAAAGAATCTTCTCCTTAAAGGACTCAAACACTGAAGAGAAGCTTTGCTGAAGGTGGAACTTTTGTTTTAGTGTTAAAACCTGATGTTTTTCTTTATATTTAAGACAGCTTTATCTGAAGAGTGCTAAAACTAAATTCCACATGGGAGATGCAGTTTTAAGAATGGCAAACCATACAATTATGATTTGAACAAGTCTATTTGATCTCAGCATTGCCAAGGCAATATTTTTCTGCTGCAGTCTTGCAATGTTTGGTATATACATGATGGCAGTAGGCAGCTCCTTGCAGAAGGCTTACACCATGTTGCTGGGCGCGCTCTTAGGACCTGACTTCACGAACTTGTGTTTCATCTGCCTCAAAACTTGGGTTGTCAATGTGTGGAAGGACATTCACAGCTGAGGGATGGGATTCATTGTTTACAAGATGCATGTTGTCATCTGTCCAGAACAAAACCAAGAAAAGACAAGTTAAGAAGTGTCATAGGCAAGCTTTACTGCCTTAAGCAAGCCACGCTTGCTTTATTTCCACGAGCCCACTGCAGTGGTCTTTTCCCAGCACTTTTCCTGCAGAGTGGGAAACCCAAGGCCATGCTCCAACTACAACTCTTCTGCTGCCTCTCATTAGTTTGTGAGCCCATTCTTGATTGCTACCTGTCATTTCTAGAGATATTTGTTCAGCTCTGGAATTCACTTCTCACTAGTGCTGAGCAAGCCTAGGTTGTGTGCTCAAGTGGCAGAAGGCAGTGTGAGGCTACGAAATCCAACTATAAAGGAGATTGGCAATTCTCATATAATTTTTAGGGCTGCTGAAGACAGGCATCAGGAGCAACTTCTAGAGACTAGGTTCAGGATAAACTGTGGGACACAGGCTGATTCAGAGGGGAAGGCCTTTTCCCTACAGACTAACCTTGTTAGGCTGATGTTAGTGTGTCCTTGCCAGTCAAAGCGAGAATACACAGTGGCCTGAGCCATATAACTAATCCAGCATCACTTCAGTTGCTTATAGGGATGCAATTTCAACTTCTGATGTTTAGCTTGTAGGAAGTGGCCTCTGCTCTACTGGGGTGCCTACATGGGGCACTCCCGTACACACGTCACTCACTGGAGCAACATGTCCCACAGGTGGCAGGCAGCAAGTCCCACGGCTTTCCTATCAGCTAGGCTTCCCGAAGGAAATCTAAGCAGACACAGCCAGAGCATCCCTTTTGCCTCTGAACGCTTCCCCACTTACTTCTCTTCCCAAGGCCATTCCACAATCCAGGGGATAGTTTTGTTTGTCTACCTGAAACCTTTCCATTTTTAAAATCAACAGGAACACTAAGCGTGTGTTGGTGAAGTTGAGCACTAAAAAGACATTTTCAATTAGTTTGCTCTTGTTCAAGAAGATAAGGTATTTGGAAAAGCTGATAGTCTTTTCCAATTAAAGTTTTCTGAAAGCATTCAAAGATGACTCAGCCTTGGCAAAATCTGAAATTCAATTGAAATATTTGTCATCTCTATTTTGCATCATCTAAGCTAGAGCAGGACTAACTCACCAAAAGTTTTCTATAAGTAATTAACTACTTAAAGCAGACAGATCTGGTGGCAAAGCAACTCTCACTCATCCAAATGAAATCTCCAAAGAGACAACGAGATGAGGGACATCTTCAGAAAAATCTCTTTGGCCTTTAAGTAGTAAGCCTCTGATTTTCAACTACTCTTTTCATAGACTTCAGTTTTTAATTTACATTTAGGTTGTGTTTCATTTGAAAACAAAGACCAAGTGTCAGAGCCAAGTTCTAAAACAAAAGGGAAGATTAAGATTACCCTGAAAAACAAGGTATTCAAGCACTGTGAGATGTTAAGGCAAACCCCCCTAATTCATAGCATAAGCAACAAAGTGCAATGCAATCTAGCAAGACAGATGAAACAGTAGACGCACTTTCTGATGGTGCATGTTCCTCCAGAACAGATTCATCTGCTCCTTGTACAGAAGCATATCCAGATGATGCTGTTTCACTATGATTATCCTCTTCATTAACTGTAGAGACATTTGATGTCCCACTGGATACTGTGGCTTGCACAGACTCAGCCCCTTCTTCTACATCCACCTTTGTGAAAGAAGAGAAAAACAGTCAAGTTACAACTTTGTAGGAGGCTGTCTATTTCCAGGAGACCAATGCCTGCAAGGACTGGAGTCTAATGCACTTTTTACCCAGGAAAAAAAAAAAAATTGAAAAAAGCTCTGCTGTTAACCTCCAGGATCATAGGTGAAAGCCAGTTACTGCCTAATTGAGCGGGAAGTTCAGATGCAGCTTCTGCATTCTTCAGCCAACTCTTCCCGTTTACTGCCCAGTACCAGGAAAATAGATTCTTCCTTCCACTCAGTGCAGATCTCCCTCCCCCAGGCAAACTCTGGCATATATTTTAGCTGGTCCAGGCAGCGTCAGGCATTGGCAACAGCATCTTCCCCTGGCACTTGCCACAAGGAGCAGTTGCAGAACACATCAGAAATTCCTTATGTATCCTAGGAAGTCATGTGCCTCCAGGAAAGCCATACATGCTAACACATTCACTTTTCACGGACTCCAGGTACTTAGTAACTGAATAGAGGCTGGTTGCAGGGACAGTATGAGTTGTCAGAGTCTGCCTAAAGCTTTGAGAAACACCCTTAGCTGCAAGTGCAAGAGCTAAGAGCAATTCTTCAGTCATGCATTACAATCAATTTTGGTTGACATTCTGCCCAAGGCTTTAGATGGTACCAACTCAGACCAGGTCAGCTGCAGGCTTTGCTAAAGGGGACACAGCAATTAGTCCTGTAGCATCTCGCCACTGACGCAGCAACACCTGTGCTTATCACCTGTGCTCTAGAGGCAGCAAGAAATAGCTCAATATGTGGTTATTACACTAGCATAATACCTATAATGGCATCTGCCACTAGGACAGACTACTGGCTTACCTCAACACCCAAAACTTTGAGTATGTCACATTTGCACATCGGGCATGTCCTGTGTTCCAGAAGCCAGGGATCAATACAGCTCTTGTGGAAGAGATGGCTGGTGGAAGAAGGTAACCAACAGGTTAGGTTTCACACCAGGAAAACTGTTTGTGGCAGCTATGAAGGCCCATTTAGAAACACCGAGAATTTATTCATTCTAGAATGGATTACCTTATTTTGCCACAAGTTTCAGTTGAAAGTTAGGGATAGTTGATCTCTCAACCTGTAGCTGGTTTATGCTTATTACTATCTCTATACAACTTGCTAGAATTCAGCATTATCATCTTTGCTACATCAGTCTTAAGCTTTTTTTTGAATCTGTGTACAATACATTCCCAGCTGATAATTTAACTAATTCAAATATTGACATCTCAGCCTTAGCTTTAAGGTTAACTTCTGTCACACAGATGCAGATGACTAAGTAGCACTTGTTTCTGTTAAAACTACATAGAAAAATCATCTCAGAGTTATGCCCTCAAGATAAACTATACTCCCACACATTTACTTTGTCTGTGCAGTCACTGTGTATTCCAAGTGGATATTTGGCAGGCTGTATACTCAAGAAAGTAAATATAGTTCAGCCATTGCAGATGCAAATGTATGCTTCTATGAAGACACTCAATTCCACAATGGGTCTGAATTAGGCCACAGATTTAGGAGGATGACTTGAAATCCTGTAATCTGCCTGTTCCCTCAGCCTGAATAGAAATAGCAAGGCAGACAGACTCTACTCTATATTAATCAGAACTCTATTATGAGACAAGTGCAGAGATCACCAGATCCAGTACTCAGTATCCTACGCCCCAGTATGATACCAGGATTCTCCAATTCAGCCCACACAACCAGCACCTCCTTCCAGCTGCACCAACGTAATGCCTAGAATACAACCTGAAATTTCCTTGATGTGTGACTATTTTAAGTACTTGGACTGAATACTGGTCTTGTGTACCTCTGCTACTATAAATGCCTTCAGTTTGACTATCCGGACAAGAATGCCTTCTGCAAATACACACGCCCCAGCTACTTAGATACCACTGATGTGACTCACAGGAGCATTCGATTGCTTCTCTTTCATGGATATAGTTAAATGCTTTCAACAAGTAGAGTCTCAGTGTTGAGGTCGACCACCAACTTTAGTACGTTCTTGCAGTAAATATCAGTTTATAACTCATGTGAGAGAGAATTTAATATGGTTGATACTGGCAGAGGTCACCACTGGTGAAGACTATCAAGTAAATGCAGTTATCTTAAACTAGTGCCTCTTAGAGCTACATTTGGGCCAAAGAGGAATGAAACACCACAAATGTATGTAAAAGCAGTCTCAGCGCAAAGCATAATGCAGCAAATTTGTGTATAAAGAATACATTCAAAGGAAGTTACTCCCCTCTTAACCAATTAAGTCATGCTTTGTTCGCAAGTTCACATCAAGGTTAGCAGGGTTTATAGGGAAATAATGAGAAGTCAGGTCTCCCATCAGCCAAAAGTATCTAGAGCCTGTAAAATGCTTCAGTACTCGTGGCACTTCATTACTAAACAGGACTACCCACGAGCATAAACCTGACAAGACAACTGAATAATCATTGACACACGTGCCTGAAAGATTATTCAGTTTTGTTTTTTTCTAAACTATTAAACATTAGATCAAGGAAGTTTGCTAGTTGGATATCAAAACAGCTTAGAAGTCCTACTGCTTGGGAGCAGGGAAAGCTTTTGCAAAATTAACCTGGTGCAAAGGTAACCCCAGCTCAAATTTGATAGCGTTTGACAAATAACACTGCTCAGCACACAACAGCAGCTACAGATTTTTCCATTCTTCAGAATTTCAATTTTTCTACATCAAAATTTTTCCAAGTGCTTTTTTGTAACCCTCCCCAAGGGTTACAAAACCTCTTCCCATACAAAATTTGTGCAGTTCATATTGCAGCCCTCTGATTTTAGAAGCTTTGCCAGAGCAGTCCCATTCAGCAGATACAGGGAGAAGTCCCACAGAACAAGTTTCCTTAAGCCCTGAAAAGGCTCATCTTAGGAGCAATCAAATTAAAGTCTTAGTGCTACAATACCGGGCTTCCACAGAAGCGCAGCAATGAGATACAACAGTAGAGAATTCTAGAAAAATAAACTGCTATAGCTCTATTTTGGTCTCTATTTCAGATGATGCATACAAGAATAGAAATGCTTTCTTCTAAACTACAAAAGTTAGCATGGTTTAACAAGTTTAATGGGAGCACAACCCTCTTAGTAACCAGTAATCTAAGTGACAAGAAATGGGCATAGTTTTGCCAGTTATCTGCAATTTAGAGGTAACATTCTTATACACCAGCAAAGGAAGAAATCTTTAAAAAGCCCTGGCATCCCCTGGAGTGGCACTGTGGTCTGCCAAGTTATACTCGTCAATCCACTCACAGGGGAAGTTATGAACACAGGCCATCGGGGCACACTACAAGTGTGTATTTACACAGTTCCTGTTGTTCAAAACACTGTTTGACAGAGATTCAAGAATTCTTGCTGCGCAACAGCTTGATTAAAGTTTGATCAGCTTTGTTAACATAGCAGAAGGAACAACTGGTAAGAGGCATGCTTCCAGATTTTGAATTAAGGGGCAGTTTGGAAGACAACTTACTTGCAAGTCAGAATGCGCACTACTTCGTTCGGCTTGTACAGCTCAATGCACACAACACAGCTATCTCCATCAGGACCAGTTTCCTAAAGCGGTGAAATGAATTTACAGCGTTAACAGACATTGAAAGCTTCCTTTGAACTACAGTCAGATTTACTGCAGACAAAGGGGTCTAGCTAAAGTAATCTAAGATGCTCCTGTATATAATCTTATATAAACACATTGTGCGGATTACTCATAGTGAAGCTGACACTTTAACAGAAGCATTGAAAGTTTAATCCCATGGTTTAGAAGTCCAGCTGCAAACCATGATTGGATTATTTGAGGCAGTGCTGTAGAGGTTTAGAAACTGCTACCTCCAGTTTTAGTTTACCTTTAAGCATCCATGCTGGCAAGTTAGGACCTCTCACCTCATCAAGACTACAAGCAAGCAGCTAAAAAAGTAGTATGATTTATAAGAATGTGCAGACTGGAAAGTCTTGCACCCCGGAAAAGGGACCGGGTCTGAAAGAGGAACCTTCTCTGCAACAGACAGTTACTGGCTCAGGGAGACTTCTGCATCCTGCTCCAGTACTAAGCACCACTCCGGGTTCTGTGCAAAGCGTGTGCCATAACACTCGGAAAATTATAGGATCAGTCATACCTTGTCCCCTTGCTTCAGGGTGCGGAGCTGTAACTGTTCAATGGCCTTCTTGGCCCTGGCCTTTAGTTGTTGCTGTAACAGAAAGCAGTCCTGGTTAAACACAGTCATTTTTCTCTTAAGTGGTGGTTACTAATACTTACCAAGGTGCCTACTGCAAGCAGGCCCCAGTTTTATAACCCAGATGTTATCAAAACAAGCCAAGTAAGCATGACCATGCTATTTAGAGACAACATGAAACAGTTCCGGGACATACTGATGTGGTTATTGACTCTGGGTGACACACCAACAGGGCATTTGCATATGCTTTGTTTTTACCTAACCTTTTCACAGAGCACAGGAATTTCAAGGGTTTCTTTTTGAAGATGTAAGATAATACCTTGATCAGATTAGACCTAGCCAAAACAAACAGAAGCCTTCAAATTGACTTGGTACAGAAGACTGAACATTTAGTCCGACAATCAATAATTTTAACTACTCACTTTATGACAACTTCCTGCCATAAATCCTGACGAAAGGCAAGATTCTTTACCAATCAGCTCAGCTACCAGCAACGCACCCTGAACTAGTCCTCTGCCACAACTGCTTTACAGAGCACACAAACAGCTCAGGAGCCTCCTAACAAAAAAAAAAAAATAAAAAATAAAAAAGGGCTCAGAGCTATTTCTTCCCCTCCCCATGACACAAGGTGTGAAACAAATCAGATGACTAGCCCCAGGTGGATTACAGGGCAGCTTTAATGAAAGCAGAGGAGGAAGCATTCCCCTTCATGCAGTAATTTGCTTGCTGCTGTCAGGATAGCAGGGCAGAGATGAGCAGACAGCAGAAGCCCAGCTTGCCTGGCAACTGTTGCTGTCCAGCTGTCACTGCAAAGCATTTAATTAGCACAGGAGCCAACATCTCTGTTTAAAGGTCACAGGTTGGTGCTGTTCCACCAACATGAGGAATATGACTGTCCTCTCCCTCTCCAGTGCATTTATTGCCTCAGGACACAGAGGCGTATCAGGCAACTCTGGCAGCGCCGTCCCAACACAGCACTTAGGGACAGACGAGACTCAAGTTTTGCAGCTAACCAAAAATCCTCCTCCCAATTCAGCTGCTCAGTGCAGGAACCCCGCACTGCTAGCTTTCCAGCATTACTTCCCCTTATGCATTTTAGTTCAGTTACAAGAACCTTTCCTGGGATGAAGGTGCAGTGCTGGTGGCACAAGTACAGAAGGAACAAGCGGGTGGGAGGGCTGCTACTGACAGCCTAACAAACTCAGCAAGAATTAGTAATTCAAGTCTGCATAAGATTCCCTGTGCTGAAGCAGTTAATGGCAAACAGGTTGATTATATAGTCTGCTGGGACCCTGTCAAACAGTTTTCATGCAAAATGACCTATTTGTATATCAGCGTTGTTTTGGGGTCCTAAGATATAGCATCAATGTGCACGCTTTTAGGAGTTTAATAGTTGATAGCTATTAACAACTACCAAGGAAGAGATACATACAGTCCAAAGGTGAAGGATGCAAACAAGTTTTCAGGTATATTTTTTAGGAACAAGAACTAGTCAAGTTTTCTTTGAAGCTTGTAAAGTTCTTCTGCTGAAGACATCAATACATGTTTCTGTATGTCACTTAAGGTTAACTTTAGAATGATGTTCCCCTTGTCAGTGTTTCAGACTGAAGCCAGAGAAGCAGCCACATACTCATCTCAGTAAACACTGAGGCCCCAAAAAATTTCAGCAGCAAATGTGGTAATGTCAGAGCAGGAATGCAGCAATATTAGTATTTCTCATGTGCAGCCAGAACTGTCTGTCACCACTACTTGTTATTAATTGAAAACTAAACTTTCTAGGAATGTACTCCCTCATACAGTATCTAATCTACACATCTGATGTCAGGCCAAGCATATTAGACAGGACCAAACTGGCTGTATTGTTAATAATTTACTGAAACAATATTTTAAGTTTTGCCTGGGCACAAGTTTTATTGCTCTTCATGAAATGCACCAATGGCAAAGTCACCTTCAACATTGATTTGTACAGCAGAACAGTCCTCTGGGGGGATGGAGAAAGGTTGCAAGAGGAAGCTTTTTATTGAATAGCCTACCAGGACATCCAGGATACTCGAGTTTGGAATGTCAAAGCATTTTGTGAAGCCAAGTTTTTCAAGCAAACATTAAATGTTAATGACATTAAAAGTCTAAAAGCCCCAACCCAGCAACTTGAGGAAAAAATAGCTAAGTTGAGGCACAAACAAAAAAAGAATCAAGATATTACAAAACAGGCCAGGTCCCGGCTCCTTATCCAGGCTCTGGCATGTTGAAGTAGAGAGGTACCTAACTGGGAAAGTTAGGTTTGCTGTTGCTTAGTCCTCAGTCTTTCCTAGTCCAGCGCTGCTGATTTTATCTCCAACCCTTTCTGCATAAGGGTGCCTTCCTGGCACCCTGGGAGCACGGTCATGGCAATGCAGACCGGCAAGCTCTAAGGAGGTCAGGAACTCCTGCTTTTCTCCTGTAAGCTAAGGAAGTTCTTCCCCACAGGTAGCTGCTGCCACGAAAACAGTTCTGAATTGTGGAAAGTTGAGCAACTCACCTCCTCCAAAGCCATTAATTAGGTCATTTCTCAGCTGTAACATCTAATCTTTATGAAATCAATGGAAGTGAAGACTTGAGCTTAAATTGGAAACTAGGGCACAGATAACATCACTGGCCATTTTGCATTATTAAGAATGGTTAATATATTGAGGAACTCAATTTGCCAGTACTCCGCTGACTAGAAAGGCAGCAAGCCACCTACCACACCTGCCTTGTTTTTCCACCTTCTTGCTCACAGACCTCACAATGCAGTAAAAGATCGCAGAGGTGGGGACTTGCATTTCAAGCCCAGAAGAAAATATGCATTCAGATAAGAACTAGTAGGTTGTAAACAGTTTAGCTAGCTGGCTCATGAGGAAAAAGCTACTCTATTTTAACTCACAGTTAGGACAGATGTGCTACTAAACTTATGTTTTCTCTTGGACCGCAAGACAACATGACTGGCTCTTCTCAATAGTCACTCAACTTTTTAAAGAAACCCTTTGCACAGTTTTACATTACTGACTTGTATGCAATTCCTGCTCAAGCTGAGAGACAGCTGCTGCCTTCAAGAAAAGTCTGCAGAGGAGAACATGTTTAAAACCTGGGTTATATGTGATCAAGCCATCCAGAAAAAGTGCCTTCACCAGAAGAAGCAAGTAGTCGTACCAAAAAGTACAGAAACTGTATTGGCAAATGGCAAAGTTTAAAGGTACTCAACAGCCTGACTGTCTATAAAAGAAGAGATTGCTTCAGAAAGCACTGCAGTCTGAAGATTTTTCTTAAGCCAAAAGAAAAGGAAAAACATATTGCCAACATGGTAATACCTGGAAGCCATCCAATTCAAGCAAGGGTTACTACTAGTCCCATGCATGAATGAAACACGTATCTAGTCAGGCTCTTGTTTTCAAGAAGCCTTTGCAGAAGAGGCAAAACATCTAGAAAATGGTCTCCCGTCTTTCTGTTCAATCTCTTTGGTAAGCAAGTGGGACTCAAGCTTCATCGCCCTTTTCAGTCCAGGGCGAGAGTTCTCCTGGGGCTGTGGCTCAGTCCACAAGAACAAGCCAAATATTCAGGAATCTGAACATACAAGAAACAAGCTGCAGAGCATCATTATCACAAATCACAATTAGCTCGTCATAGCACTCTGTAGAGCAATTCAAAAGTGTTCATTTTGGTTCAAGTGGTAGACTGACACTTTAAAAAGACTCCTCACACAATAGCAATATAATCCCACAGGGAAGGTCAAAAAAGCAGAGAGATACTTTGAAGAGTAGTAACACTGGGTAAAGGGATGCATTCAGAACAGCAGTTCACTTCTGAAAGAGGGATATTTGTAATACTTTTAATGATCAACACACTTTACTGTTTCCTAAAGACACCTTCCTTCAACATCTGTGCAATAAAGGAGATAAAACATACTCCTTTGCTCCACCAAATAACAGACTGAAGTCCAGGCAATCCGAGTTTCCAAAGGGCTGAGCAATGACAGGAAAAGCTCCCCATGCAGCATGCAAGCTGATCAGTTGACTAATATTCAGTATTTCATGGAGCCAAAGCAGTTAAAGTCTCAAACTTTGGATATACACTGAAAATCCAATCAGCTGGCTAACAGGGAACACTGTAGCATCACATTTTAGTAGTTCACCTTCACTAACTAAAGAACTTTCTTGTTATTCTTTGCTTATCTAATCATTGTGAGGTCAGTTTTTAGATGCCGTGGTATAAAAACAATTGAAAACAATTCCGGATTGTCTTGAGTTTCACTTTTACAAAACAGTACATTTTTATCCCCTGGTAGCAGAGCCGCTTTCTTCTATTCTTATACTTTATAAAGCACTTTTTAAGGCTCCTTAATTTCAGTTCAGCTGAAATCATGTGGAACTGGCATGTCATTTATCAATGTTAGTTTTCAATCTACAGTAAACTTGTGCACACAGAGCCCAAGACAGAAATAGTTTGTGAAGGTACTAGCCAAGCAGACTGGATTTTCCCAGTACCATCTACCACTGAGGCATTAATAACATTTGTAGCTTGTTGAAAGCCTCATAGCTCAGAATAGAGCTGGACTTCCACAACTGCTCTGTTAAATACCTTCAAAGGAGGAAAAATTTTCATGAGATTTGATAAACAGTGCCCTTTGCAGAGTGGCTTGTAGGGCGCTCAGGTTTTCCTACCCAGGTTTGTTTAGCATTGAACAGAGTTCTCATACTAGGGTGGATGGCAGGGAATGAAAGAGGGAATTCATCAGCAGGAGACGATGTGCATCTCTGTCCACAGATGTCAGCAAGAGGACAGCATCAAGTTACAGAGCTCCATGCCATCCCTCATGAAAGGTACTACAGAGACAACTCCATATGACATCCAGGAGTGGCAATGCTACGTCTCACAGGCAGATGACAACTTCCAATACTGCTCTTTCAACTATTCCCTTATTGTATCCTTATTCCCTTATTGTATGCTCATACCACTTCCAGGTGTGGCATAACACCAGAACATTCAAACAGGCTAAAACAAAGCACTTAGAGGAGGCCTAGTCCAGAAGTTGAGGCAGACACAGCTTAGGCGAGGCACAAATAGTTTCAGCTCACTGTTAGATCTCTAGTCTCAGTAAGGATATAGCCAGCTGACCATCATCCACAAGATTACACTTAGACAACAGGATTTCAGAACGCAAACTGGACTGAGTTAGGTTCTGTGATTACTAGAGAGAACCCAGCATTCAACTCTCGCCAATATTTGAGCCCAGCATTCAACTCCGGGAATACTGCTGTTATTTGCCCTAGCTAGTCTCTCTGCCTGACAAGAACAACGATGGTTCTGCATGTTAACATTCTAAAGAAGCCAGTCCTAACATGTTACAGAAGCCTGAAACTGTCCTGAATTTCGACACCTGCATCCAACTTCTAGCTTCATCAGCTTATTTCAGAAGGATCTTGCTCAAGGGGCCTGAAATCTCCAGGAGAGCAGAGAAGCTCAGTAGGGCAGGTCTTCTGCAATGGCAGAGAAGTCTGCCACTTCTTTAACTATCTAACCACTGATCCAGAGATAATTCACATACGCTGAGCCCAGCTAGAGTGAGATGCTTGTGCTATTGCTGCCTGTCGGAGAGGACTCTAACAACTCTTCTTTCAGAGTTCAGGCAGCTCCTGTAAGAAGCACTGCAAATATCAATGGTCTCCTTTGCAACACAGCTGTAAGGGCACAGCTGAAGTAAGTACTCACATCTGAGCCACTCGGATCCTGTTCCTGCTGCTGCCCATCACCTTTGACAGATGTCAGGCCAGGACTTTATTCTCACTTTTAAGGCTTTTGCTTAAGCCATGAAGTAGCAGGTATAAGGCGGGTCTGATCAGACTGAAGACAAAGCTGTAAGCATTAGTCCTATCAGCTGATCAAATTATTGCACAGAAGAGAGTTACTTGGAAACTTAACTCATTAGCAACTCCCTGCCTGGGGTTTAAAAAGAACACAATTTAACAGTGCTTTTTTTCAACTCCTAATTGAGGCTGTCACTGCAATTCTCAAAGCTTTCAGTCAGAAAGCAGCTTTCAACAAGCAGCAGTTTCTCAACTTGTGGTCTACAGAAAGGCAGCCAAAGTCATGCACCGCTTCACAGACACATTTGCAGTCGTGTCTCACATTACAGCTAGCACACAGGCAGTGCTATGTGGGAAGTGTGAGGGTCAGCTAAAAGCAGTTTAGCTCCCTCACCGCCTCCAATACACCAGCATTGTTTAGCATTGAACAGAGTTCTCATACTAGGGTAGATGGCAGCTGCACTGCAGTTCAGGGAGTAAAATTTGTAGGAGGCAAAGTTAGCTAAACACAATCAGTTGCTTTCTCCAGACAGTTTACTTTTTGCTGTTTCTCTGTAAAGTTTTAAGCTGTTTAAAGATACATCTCTTCACATTTTAAAGATCACAGTCCTGTGGAATGAACATTCACACATTTTAAAGATCACAGTCCTTCCCGTGGAATGAACGAATTCAGTAATTTTGGTGCTCCCAGTATTTTATCTCTTCACATTTTAAAGATCACAGTCCTTCCCGTGGAATGAACGAATTCAGTAATTTTGGTGCTCAACCAGTATTTTGCCCTCAGGATCCACAGAATAGAGGCTCAGGGGTATAAAAAAAAAAAGCAGTGGCGCACACAAACTCACCTGATTCCTGGACTGGGCCCTTGCAATCCTGAGTCTCCGAGCAGAATAAAAAATAAAGTAGCCCATGGTTGCTGCTGTGACAATGAAAAACGACACCGAGATGAAGAAGATGGAGTATTGATTCATCCAAGGACCATGCTTTTTCCCCACTTCAATAACCATAGTCACTGTCATGCCACTCTCAATCCGGTGTAAGATCTCCATGCCTTTCAGGTTGCCAATCATAATTGCAACGATGCTTTCAGCACCTGCAAAGGAGAAGGGGAATCCATGCTCAGTTCCCAGGTGTTGTATAAAAGTCATTGTCTTAAATGTCCCAGTTCAAGTGCTAAAGAACAGACTGGAAAGTTTCTAACTAGCATTTGCAGATTCAACATGAGCTGATGGAATAAGTGTCATCTCCATGTGCTTGTTCAGCTGAAAGGTATGTCCCATTACCTGTGAGCTGCATAAGTGAACCATATTTAGAATTCATTCCCCTCCATAGCACTCCTCACTCCCATATAGGACACGCATTGTCTTCATTTTAGACTCAACACTTTGGCAATTTACATTTTAACATGCCCTTGAACTACATGAAGTTAAAAATAAGTCCTATACAGAGTGAGGTCACTAGGGATTGCAGCATAGCCAGGAGCTCAGGGATGCCAGGTACACAGCTGGTGGCTTAGGGACCCTTCCTGTAATGGATCCGACTCCCTCCCTGCTCCGCTGCTGCTTCTTAACACCTCTCTTCTAGATTTGACAGTGCTGTTGAGTACTTCCCCAGACACTGAGCAATCAAAGCCACAGATCAGCCTTTGCTCCTGTATTTTCAGCAGCAATTGAGAAGTGTTTGAGTGAAATTTGGTTGTGAACTATAAATGTTGTTGTGGGTTTCTAATGCAAATTCAGAGGGAAGCAAATATGGAGGTGTGCTCGGCTTTTAAACAGTTGGTGGCAGATGGCAAACTCCATCCAGATTTTAACAGATTTCATTTACTCAGTTGAACATCATGACAAGCCATCAGAGGAACCAAGCGGTTTATGGTAGGAAGACATTTCAAGCAACTCTGGTCACCAAGTACAGACCAGAACAAAGCTGCTTTCATTTCAGTGACAAGCAAGTACTTGAGGACACTTGATACTATTCACAGGAACGGGGGGGGGGGCGGGAAGGGAAAAAGGGAGACAAGTAAATTGTCACTGGCCTCTCTCTAAACTAAATACAAGAAAAGTTAATTCAAGACTAGCCAGTCAGGAGCCTCACTGCATTAAACCATCAGCTGCACAACATTCATAATAGATACTGCACGGTGATGGAATAAAGGCTGTTACAGAAGTGCTATTTTTAGCTAACCTCCTAGCCAAACACCTTTTAATGGGGAGACCAATTTTTTTTTCCTCCATTAAGAGAAACCTTATCCAACTTTCAGCTATCAAAAAACTAGAATTGGTGTTAAACCACAAAGGCTCTCATTTGAGAAAGTGCTTATTAGTTTTCCAGCTTGTTCACATAATGCCTTGGATCCAAGATAGCTAAGCATGATGTCTAGCAACTCTCCTCAGTGTTACTAAACTCATCTTTTATTCAGAAAGCTCCTTGTAATGAGAAGTACATCACACAGAGAAGGGGACACCAAAAAAAAAAAATCAGCCAGACTGTAACTATCCTTTATGATGAACTAGGGCTTATACATCAGTTATAAAATGAGCTGGAGTGAGGTGTTATGAGCAAGTAAAGAATTAAGCATGGGTCAAGTCAGAAGCTGAGACTTACTTTCATAAGCATGGAAGAAAGTGTGGAAGAGCAGGCTGTGACAACAAGAAAATAAAAAGCCTGCCAAAAAAGCAAGAAAATCTTGTTCTGCCTTATTCCCCTTCGTTTCTGCGTGTCTCACTAGTCAAATATAGCTTGTGATTATACACAATACAAGATGTAGTGCAGGGATTCCTGTTAATGAAGTGTCACCATCAGCCTGCAAAACCACTTCAGCTACTAAGCCATCAGTTGTTGAACAAGTTTTCTTGTTAAATCTTCTATCTAAGTTTCAGGCTAATCAGTTCACCAGGATGTCATTAGATGACAGTTTTAAGTCTTTTCCTGACAGTTTTTCCCCCAGATATTTCTCTTGCAATTTCAGCTCTGCTTGAGATAAACACATGCGAGTTGTCAGCTGGTAGCTTTGACACTGCAGCAACAAGGGCAGAAGTAAGAGTGGTCATTTCCATTAGCACCTGCACTACTCCTCCCCCCTTGGAGCGAACCCCCACTGACATACATCGGCATCCATCTTCAATATTTTGTAATGCAAACTCTTAGAACCAACAATTAATTTCTAAAGGCCATTACAGGTGAGCTAACCTGACATCATACAAAGTTAACCAAATACCTTGTGCCAACAACAGGGGAAAGGAATCCAGAAACTGCACCTAATTTCTAGCCATCAGTAGCACAGGAGTTTAGTCACTTCAGTAGCTCCTTTTGGACAGGGACTAGACAAAGCTCTGGCACCATCACACAGGGCCTGTCAGGGGGACATCCCCCTTACCTGGCAGAAAACAAGACCTCCTTTGCCTGCCAAGAGGACATTCAAGGATGCCCTATTAGCCTGAAGCTAAGATAGAAACCCAGAATCCATGTTTGGGACTACTGCTGTGCTTCTAGAATAAAACCAGCTAGGATCACCCCCACCCAATGCTTCCTGAGCTGCTAGATGGGTCCCATCATGACAGATACTGAAACATGTTACTGTGGCCTGGAAACCACCAACCTATCTAGAGGCTCCTCACAGTGCTTGGGCATCTTAATGGAAACAAGCTATTTGAGCGGACATCTGCAGAGGTGTCTGAAGCATAGCAGCTGCCCTGAACTACCACTTTCCCCCCCCCCCCAGACTCCAGCAAAGCAAGAGGAAAGTCAAATTAGTTGTGCGTGGCAAAAACCTCATAGAAACCCAAGTTTCTCACCTAGGCGTCAGCTTTTGTGATTCAGGTAAAGCTTTCTGTAACAGTTTAAGGGACATTAGAAGGTGAGATTAAGCTGCTGCCTGTTTAGCTAATAACAGGCTCATTGCTAAACAGAAGCAAGACCTGTTTAGTTAAACATTTCCCAGCCTCTCTCCTTTCTCATCTCCTGTGAAATTCAAGAGGGAAAGTTTTTCAAGTCCTTAGACAAATACAATCTGCCTCTGTAGATGTGGAGTTTCGCAGAAGGTACCTCCCAAATCATAAGGCTGGTCAAAATTTGGAGGATGCTGTTTTGCAGATACGGGTTGGTACAGATGAAGCACAAGAACTTAAATAGTTTGTTGGGGCAGGGCAAGAGCTGGGACACAAGCACATTTGGCACACAAGGAGAGTGCATGGCTGGGATCAAAGTTTTACCTTCCTGTATCAGGTTTACAGAGTGGAGTTGCATCTATTTATACCAATATAAATACCTATATTAAACTCTGCCCTGCAAAGACTTCACTTGTTCTGCCATTACACTTCTGTCCCCTGAAAACATGACGTTACAGGTTTGGCAATTCAGTAGAGAAATGCAATGTGCAAGAGGTGCACAGAACTGGGAGTATTAACTTTTGCACAGTAAACACCTGCTTTTTCACATTCATTAGGGGGATTATTGTAGTCCAGTGCTACTCTTGTGTGTGCTACAGAAAGTCTGTTTTGAACCAAGCAAATTGTAGGTCCTGGAGAACAGTCACCCCACAATATTTAGCAGACTGCAATGTAACCTCATCAATGCATTAATAGCAGTCATTTTTAGCTTAAAAAAAAAAAATCACAATCTGTTCATGCATTAAAGGACATCAAGGCAAGGATCAGATCTTGGGGCCAACCAAATCCCTGCTTCAAAACAAGGTATGGCAAAGCATTGCTTACCTGATTCAGATTAAGTATACACAATGTACAGGACAACATTTGAGCCACTGCCTATGACTAAGTCCCAAATGAGTAGGCCCCTCTGTGCCATTGCTAAGTATGGTGGGACTCCATGGCATACCTCAAGGCAACACTTGCATCGCAGATCCATGCTAGAGCACAGCGTTGATGCCTCCACGGTCTCCATATCTTGCACAGCTATCACCATAAACCCTCTCCCCACAGAAGCAGCTCAGAAGAGCTGTCACAGTGTGTTCAGGGTGAACAAAGGTGCAAGCTGATTCCCACAGGAGGTGGAATTTTCAGACTTGCCTGATTTTTTTCCTTCCTCCCCCTTCTTGCAAGTGAAGGAATGAGAAGCCCTGGCAGCTTAGAAGAACTACCTCCTTCCCAGGCATATTACAAGTACAATTACAACTTCTAGAAACACTACGAGCAGATTTCTCTGGGTGTTACAGTGAAATTTCTTCTTTTTTTTTTTTAATGAAAAGGGAACTGGTTTTCCATAGATACTGATTATTAATATCCAGTAATGAGCACTCCTTTCTCACTTCTCTGTTGGGACCTGTTGAAGTTATCCACCCTTTCAGATAGTTATAGTACAGCTTCCAGGTGGTCTGGAGTTCACAGTGTCAAGGAGATTCAGAGATTAAGGAATGCGCTGGGTTTTGCAGTAATTAGAGGCTACATGACTGAAGGCTTTCTGCCCAGCCCCCAAAACTCACTACAGTTAAAGCCTTCCTATAATACAGAAAGAGAAAATAAAACTTTAGAAGGGAGCTACACTAGCACTCCAGGTGGAATAAATACAGCAGAGTAAGACTTAAAAGCCCAGAGACTACAGCTACAGCATGCAGACTTACAGGAAAGTTCTGCCCACAAGAGACTCTGCAATGGTGACACTGAGCTTGCTCGTGGTCTTGACTTGAAGTCTGTGCTACTGAGGAGCATGGGGAGGCCCCATCAGCCATTCAAGAGCACAGCTGCTAGCTACATGCTTAAACATAACAGGCAGATTTCCTCACCTGGGATGAAAGTTGAATGCTGCCTTAAGTATAATTAAAATATATCCGTAGTGTTCTGCACCTCCAGCCTTGCAGTCAAGCCACTCACCGCATGAGAACATCAGAACAAGTACAGGGCGCTGCCTAAGCTTCACCCATTGCTGCTTTCACAGCAACCGTCCCTTCTGAGACAGCTTTGGTAAGCAAGTCTTCCCCTGAGGAGAGCAGGGTGTTGCTACAGCAGTGTGGTTCCCAGGGTAAAATCCTGCCTCCTGGATGCCCCGGTGCAGGCTCCTGCAAGTTGAAACCACTCCACGTGCAGCAGCCAGTTCAAGAGGAGGGAACAGGCCTTTTTGTGCACGCTGCTCCTCCTCAGA